GTTTTGGAGATCTCAGTCTAAAATGGGTTTCACTGGGCTAAAATTAGCAGGTCTGTGTTTATTTTAGAGACTCAATGGGAGAATTTGTTCCCTTGTCTTTTCCATCTGTTAGAGGCTACCTGCATTCCTTGTCTGGGTCTCCTTCCTTCACGTTCAAAGCCAACAGCATAACATCTTCAAATCTCTCTCTGGTTCTCTTGCCTCCCTCTTTCACTTGTAAGTACCTTTTGATTATATTTGGATCCACTGGGTTAATGCCAGTTAATTATTCCCTATCTCAAGATCCTTAATTTTTGTTTTTAATATTGTTTGTTAGCATGGTAACAAATGCAGATTTAAATAGTCCACAACATATAATTAGCCTACTGAACAACTCCTATTGTATGCCTCACAGTTACCAGCTGAAGGTATTTCACTATAGGTTTTCACAACTCCTGATTCAAACCTTTAGTCTTTTAACAATAAAGTATATTGCTATATACATAATAAAATACATTAACTACTCATTTTCCATATGATATCTTATAGCCACTTGTCCATTTTATATGTATGAGATCACAGTCTCTAAAGATTCTGTTGAATATCTATGTTCCCTTTCAAGAAAGGAAACAGATTCTTTTTCTTTTAAATAAGAAAATATGTAGACTTAGAGGGACTTTACATAAATGGCCATGTGGATAACCTGTACAAAATTAAGCTATTTTCAGTTCACAGACTACAAGCAACTGAACCCAAATGTCCAAATGTACATTGTTTTCTGCACTACATTGCAGCTAATATTGCAGAACCAGTAACATTTTTAAAAGTTGCTATTACCACTTCTGTCTACTGTAGCAAGATACTTTAAGTTACAACAAAATCTTAGGAAATAAGACTAAATAATATCTGTTATAGTAATACCTTACTCTTTACCAACTCCCACCTCCCCCACCCCTTCAGAATCACACACAGCTGTCTTCTGTGACAGACAGTCTAAGAATTGTGAAAACCCAATTTATGTAGCATATCTCTTGGTCCACTGTCTGGACATCCTGTCATGTTCTGCTCTGTTAGTCATATGCTGAGTGACAATACATCCCAACAAGGTGTCAGCAGGATTACAGTCTCTAAGAACTGAGCAGATAGAAAGAAGGACTTTAGAAATGGTTATCTTTCAACATGTCTAAGCAAATAACACCTTGACTGTTAATATTATAATGATAGAGTATTGTCCAAAATGTAACCTTTGGAGACTTGAAGGGATAGTCTGGTATAAAAGTATTATCAAAGAAAAGAATACACCACCTTCATACACAGATCCTGCAGGCCCTAGCATGGTTGATCTCCATTCATAGATGTTATTGCCTTTAGGACCAGCACTGCAGTTTAGGTGGAGGATGTAAGTGATGTGTGCCAGTTCCTTCTGAATCCTGCTCTTCCCAGGGCATCGTGTAACTTCCTGTGGGACTGCTCTCTTCCTTCTCCATGATCTGCTCTTAGCTCACACTGAACACAGCTGTTTCCCACAGTTTTCTCCGTCTGCACCAACCCTCAACTTTACCTGAAGATCCTTAATTTTATCACATTTGCAAAGTCAGTTTTGCCATGTAAGGTTACATATTCACAGGGTCCAGGCATTAAGACATCTTTGATGGTCCATTATTTTGCCTACCACACCACTAAAGCAATACTCTGATGGAAATTTATTCTACTGACTACATATATTAGGAAAGAAAAAATCTCAAATTATTAACCTCAGCTTCCACCTAAAGAAACTATTAAAATAAGAGCAAATTAAACACAAAGGAAATAATAAAGATAAAATGTGAAGTAAATGAAATGGAAAACAGAAATGCAAAGGAGAAAAAATCTATAAAACCAATCGGTGGTTACTGAGAATATCAATAAAATTAATAAAACTTTATAGCAGTAAATACCTATAACCAAAAAAGTAGAAAGATTTCAAATAAACTATCTTAATGATATACTTCAAGGAACTAGAAAAGCAAGGACAAACCTAACCTAAAACTGGTAGAAGCAAAGAAGTAATAAAAATCAGAGCAGAACTAAAGGAAATAGAGACTAAAAAATTAAAAAAGAAAATACAAAGGGTCAATAAAATGAAAAGTTGGTTTTTTGAAAAGATATACAAAATCGATAAACTGCTTGCCAGACTTACTAACAAAAAATAGAAGAGATCCCAATAAAGTCAGAAATGAAAAATGAGACATTACAATTGATGCCACAGAAATATAAAAGATCATCAGAAAATATGAGCAACTATACACCAACAAACTGGAATATCTAGAAGTAAATAAATTTCTGAATACTACGATCTTCCAAGACAGAATCAGGAAGAAATAGAAAACCTAAACAGACTGATAGCAAGTAATGAGATTGAAGCAGTAGTACCAAGTCTACCAACAAAAGTCCAGGACTGGATGACTTTACTGCTGAATTGTACCAAATTTTCAAAGAAGTAACACTAAAATTAAAGAGGAGGGCACTTGCCCTCACTCATTTTATAAGGCCAGCATTACCTTGATACCAAAATCAGAGACAGATGCAACAAAAAAAGAAAATGATAGACCAGTATCCCTGGTGAATACAGTTATAAAAATCCTCAACAAAATATTAGCAAACCAAATCCAATAGCACGTCAAAAACATAATATACCGTGATCAAATAGGATTTATCCTGGGGATGCAAGTATGTTTCAACATACACAAATCAATAAACATGATACTTCACATCAGCAGAATGAAGAAAAAAATCCATATGATCATCTCAATAGATACAGAAACTGAATTTGGTAATATTCAATATCCCTTCATGATAAAAACTTCAAGAAATTAGGTATGGAAGGAATGTACCTCAACACAATAAAGGCCATATATGAAATATCCACAGCTTACATCATACTGAATGGGGAAAAGCTGAAAGCCTTTCCTCTAAGAACAAGACAAGTATGATCACTCTAATAACTCCTATGCAGTGTAGTTCCAGAAGTCCTCACCAAAGCAGTCACAATCAGGCCAGTGCAAGAAATAAAAGGCATTTAAGTTGGAAAAGAGGAAATCAAATTGTTCCTCACGCTGGTAATAGAATCTTATAGGTAGAAAAACCTAAAGACTCCACCTAAAAACTCTTAGATCTGATAAATACAGTAAAGTTGTAGTATACAAAATTAATATGCAAACATCAGCATTTCTGTATACCAGTAATGAACTAGCTGAGAAATCAAGAAGGCAATTTCATTGACAGTAGCTACAAAAAAGAAAAAAAAGGTAGGAATAAATTTAAACAATGATGTGAAAGATCTCTACTGGGAAAACTGAAAAGTGCTGATAAAAGAAATTGAAAAGTACACAAATGGATCCCATGCTCGTGGACTAGAAGAATATCATTAAAATGACCATACTGCCCCAAAGCACTCTACATATTCAATGCAATCCCTATCAAAATGCCAATGTCACTTTTCAGAGAATTAGAAAATACAATCCCAAAATTGGTACAGAACCAAAATAAGAGACCAAATAGCCAAAGTAGTCATGAGCAAAAAAAAAAAAAAAAAAACAGAGCTGAAGATATCACACTACCTGACTTCAAAATACATTACAAAGCTATAGTAATCAAAACAGCATGGTATGGGTACAAATGCAGACACATAGTCCAATGGAACAGAATAGAGAATGGAGAAATAAAGCCACATATTTACAGCCAACTGATTTTCAACAAAGGCACCAATAACATAAATTGTGAGAAAGGACAGTCTCTTCAATAAGTGGTGCTGGAAATATTGATATGTGGAAGAATGAAACTGGATCCCCTATCTCTGACCATATGCAAAAATAAACTCAAGATGGTTAAAGACTTACATGTAAGACCCGAAACTGTAAAATTGCTGCAAGAAAACTTAGGGGAAACACTTCAGGACATTGGGCTAGGATCTAGGGAAAGATTTTATGACTCAGACCTCAAAAGCACAGACAACAAAAACAAAATAAACAAATGGGACTAAAGGTTCTGCACAGCGGCGGAAACAACACAGTAATTAGACAACCTGTTGAAATGTACTCAGCTCAACAAAAAAATCCCATTAAAAAGTGGTTAGAGGACATGAATAGGCATTTCTCAAAAAAAAAAAAAAAGACATACAAATGGCCAACAGGTGTATGAAAAAATGCCCAACATCACTAATCATCAGGGAAATGCAAATCAAAACCACTATGAGATAACATCTTACCTAGTTAGAATGGCTGTTTTTTAAAAGATAAAAAGCAACTGATGTTGGCAAGTATGTGGGAAAGAGGGAATACTGTTGGTAGGAATGTGAATTACTGTAACCACTGTGGAAAATAGTATGGAGATGTCTCAGAAAACTAAACATAGAACTAGCATAGAACCCAGCAATCCCACTATTAGGTATTTATCCAAAGGAATAGAAATCAGTATATCAAAGGGATATCCTGCACTCACATTTATCCCAGCAATATACACAGTTGCAAAAATATGGGATAAACTGAAACATCCATCAGTGGAAGAACTCAGTAAGATAATGTGGGATATATACACAATGGAATACTACGAGGCCATATAAAAGAGTGAAACCATGTCACTTGCTGCAATATGGATGGAACTGGGGGCCATTATGTCCAGTGAAATCACCTGGCACAGAAAAGACAGATACTGCATTATTCTCACTCATATATAGTAGCTAAAAAAGTTGATCTCATGGAGATAGAGAATAGAATGATAGATACTAAAGGCTGAGAAGGGTATGTAGGTAGAAGAGAGAGATGAAGAGAGATTGATAAATGGGTGTAAACATACAGTTAGATAGAAGAAGTAAGTTCTATTGTTCAATAGAGTAGAGTGATTGTAGTTAGCAACAATGTATTACATATTTCAAAGTAACTATAGAAAAGGACTTGAAATGTCCACAACACATAGAAATGATAAATACTCAAGATTATGGATGCCTCAGGTACCCTGACTTGATCATTACACATTCTAAGCATAGAACAAATACATGTACCCCACAAATATATAAAATATATGTATCAATGAAAAGTAACTCTTTTTTAAAACACTGAGATTTGATTCTTTATTTGGAGATGTTTAATGTAAAAGCCAAAGGTAAAAAGAAATTTGTGTTCTAGATATCTGTTTTTGATAGAGTTTAAGTCTATACTCATTTTTTTATACTTTTATGTGGGCCCTCATGCTCTTCAAGCTCCTCTTGAAATTTGAATATAGTGGAAAGGTTTTCATATATAATAGGAAGCATAATAACAATCCAATATGTATTTCAAATAGCAACTCCTGAGAAGATGCTGGAAAAACTGATAGACTTACTCTCTAGTGTTTCTTTTGGTTGACATCTCTCAGTGATCCAATAGTCTGACATATTTTATCCTCATCATTATTCTTTTTCAGATCATTTACATCTTCATTGTAAAACGTATCTTTCTCTCACCTGGGTTTCTTCTTTGTTCCTTCCTAGTTTTTTAGATAAATTGTCACATATTCCTAGATTCCCATCAGGATCTGTGAAAGGAAGAAAAGGGGAGGGGGACAGAATAGGATCCACTATCTATAGAAAGTTTTTTCCTCCCCAGAATTTTACAGAGATACACACATTTTGGTTACATAATTTGCTTTTGTACAGTTTGAGTCAAAGTTGTAAGTGTGCCCTTCACCCAGTTAGTATGCATGGTGTGAATTTACCCATCCCCTACTCCCCCCTCCCACCTATTTGATTTCACTTGAGTTTTACTTCCATATGTCCACATAAGTGTTGTTCAATTAGTTCAATTTAGCATTGAGTACAAGTGGTGGTGGTTTTTCCATTCTTGTGATACTTTACTAAGAATGGCCTCCAGTTCCATCCAGGTTGTTACAAAGGATACTAGATCACCATTTTTTTTTTTTTATGGCTGAGTAGTGCTCTAGAGTGTGTGTGTGTGTGTGTGTGTGTGTGTGTGTGTGTGTGTGTGTGTGTGTATCACATTTTATTAATCAGTCATACATTGATGGGCATTTGGGTTGATTCCACATCTTTGCAATTGTGAATTGTGCTGCTATAAACATTCGCGTGTAAGTGTCTTTTTTTATAGAATGTCTTTTTTTCCTTTGGGTAAAGAGTAGTGGGATTGCTGGATCAAATGGTAGGTCTACTTTTAGTTCTTTGAGGTATCTCCATACTACTTTACATAGAGATGGTACTAGTTTGCAGTCCTACCAACAGTATATAAGTGTACCTTTCTCTCTACATCTGTGCCAACATCTGTTGTTCTGGGACTTTTTGAAAAAGGCCATTCTCACTGGAGTTTTAGGTGATACTTCATTGTGGTTTTGATTTGCATTTCCTTGATTAGAGATGGTGAGCATTTTTTCATGTATTTTTTGGCCATTAGTCTGTCTTCTTTTGAAAAGTTTCTGTTCATGTCTTTTGCCCACATTTTAATGGGTGGTTTGATTTTTTTCCTTGCTGATTTGCTTGAGTTCTTTGTAGATTCTGGTTATCAGTCTTTTGTCAGATGTGTAGCATGCAAATATTTTCCCATTCTGTAAATTGTCTCTTTGCTCTATTGATTGTTTCCTTGGCTGTGCAAAAGCTTTTTAATTTGATTGGGTCTCATTTATTTATTTTTTGCTATTGCTGTGATTGCTTTTGGGGTCTTCTTCATAAATTCTTTGCCTAGACCAATATCTGCAGGAGTTTTTCCATCATTTTCTTCTAGAATTCTTATAGTTTCATGCCTTAGATTTAAGTCTGTTATCCATCATGAATCAATTTTTGTGAGAGGTGAAAGGTGCAGATCCTGTTTCAGTCTTCCACATGTGGCTATCCAGTTTTCCCAGAACCATTTAAATAAGGATTCTTTACCCCAGTGTATGTTTTTGTTTGCTTTGTCAAAGATCAAATGGCAATATGAGGATGGATTCATATTTGTGTTCTCTGTTCTGATTCATAGATGTATGTCTCTGTTTTTGTGCCAGTACCATGCTGTTTGGGTTACTGTAGCCTTGTAGTATAGCTTGGAGTTTGGTAAAGTGATTCCTCTTGATTTGTTCTGCAAAAATTCTCAATAAAATCCTAGCTAACCAAATTCATCTGCACATCAAAAAAATAATTCACCATGACCAAGTGGGATTCATCCCAGAAATTACAAGGTTGATTCAACATACACAAATCTATAAATATAATTCACCATATAAGTAGAAGCAAAAACAAAGACCACGTCCTCTCAATAGACACAGAAAAAGCATTTGGCAAAATTCAGCACCCTTTTGTGTTAAGAACTCTTAACAAAATAGGCATAGATGAGACATACCTCAAAATTATTAAAGCCATATACAACAAACCCACAGCCAACTTCATACTGAAGGGGAAAATTTGAAAGCATTCCCACTTAGAACTGGAACCAGATGAGATTACTATCACCACTTCTATTCAACATAGTACTGGAAATCCTAGCCAGAGCAGTCAGACAAGAAAAGGAAATCAAGGATATCCAAATGGGGAAAGAAGAGGTCAAACTATCACTCTTTGTTGACAATATTATCTTTTTTTTTTTTTTTTTTGAGACAGAGTCTTGCTTTGACGCCCAGGGTAGAGTGAGTGCCGTGGCGTCAGCCTAGCTCACAGCAACCTCAAACTCCTGGGCTCAAGCGATCCTCCTGCCTCAGCCTCCCAAGTAGCTGGGACTACAGGCATGCGCCACCATGCCCGGCTAATTTTTTCTATATATATTAGTTGGCCAATTAATTTTTTTCTATTTATAGTAGAGACAGGGTCTCGCTCTTGCTCAGGCTGGTTTCGAACTCCTGACCTCGAGCAATCCGCCCGCCTCGGCCTCCCAAAGTGCTAGGATTACAGGCGTGAGCCACCGCGCCCGGCCTGACAATATTATCTTATGTCTAGAAACCCCCAAAGATTCACCCAAGAGACTCCTGGAACTGATAAATGAATTCAGCACATCTCAGGCTACAAAATCAGTGCACACAAATTGGTAGCTTTCATGTACACCAGTATCAGTCAAGCTGAGAATCAAATCAAAGATGAAATACCTTTGACAATAACAACAAAGAAAATAAAAAACTTAGGAATGTATTTAAGGAGGTGAAAGACCTCTGTAGGGAGAATTATAAAACACTGAGGAAAGAAATTTCAGGGGATGCAAACAGATGGAAAAACATCATGCTCATGGATCAGTAAAATCAACATTGTTAAAATGTCTACACTACCCAAAGTGATTTACAGATTCAATGCGATCCCCATTAAAATGCCAACATTTTTTGCAGACCTTGAAAAAAATGGTTCTATGCTTCCTATGGAACCAGAAAAGACCCTGAATAGCTAATATAATCTTACATAATAAGAAACTATTCATTAGAAGAGACAAAGTTTTAAATATAATGTAATGTGAACAATAGTGCCAATTTGTAGGATCTCAAAACCTGGAAAAAATATAAGTTATTAAAATGTGAAAAAATATCAGGAATAAATGAAAAGGGATTAAAACTGAAAGATCCATTATTGGAACATTCTACTGTTTATGTATAACCTGTGGCAATGCACTTGGGCCCTTCCTTGTCTAGTTAAGAAGTATCTATACTTAATAAATCCTCAGGCCGGATGAGGTGGCTCACACCTGTAATCCTAGCACTCTGGGAGGCCGAGGCAAGCAGATTGCTTGAGGTCAAGAGTTTGAAACCAGCCTGAGCAAGAGCGAGACCCTGTCTCTACGATAAATAGAAATTAATTGGCCAACTGATATAAATATAAAAAAACAATTAGCCGAGCATGGTGGTGCATGCCTGTAATCTCAGCCACTCTGGAGGCTGAGGCAGTAGGATTGCTTGAGCCCAGGAGTTTGAGGTTGCTGTGAGCTAGGCTGATGCCACGGCACTCACTCTAGCCTGGGCAACAAAGTGAGACTCTGTCTTAAATTAAAAAAAAGTCCTCATAGCCTCACCTTAATTTTGTTTCACTTCAATCTATAGACCCAGACTCTGGACACATTAATCTCAGTGTTGAAATGAGGAAGTTTATGTTGTATTCCTTAAGAAGGGAGAGCTAGAAGGGGAACTTTTTATAATTCAGAGTCTCTTACCTGGCTATTAGGTGGCCACAAGATCTTCAGCCAGTCTGCTCAGTTTAAGTACTTCTAGGCCATCCCATTCTTTTTATCAGATTGTTGGGTAAAAAATTTTAAATCTTCTGCTAACCCTGAAAATTCTCTCCACAAATGTAGAAAAGAACAAAAACAGCTTTATTATTGAATAAACATTAGCAGAACTGTACAGTGAGCATCACAGACAATCCACCAAGGAGACTGCAGACTGAAGGAAATCTTACTCTTTTATATACCCAGGCATATATATCATCCACTGTACATTTGTGTTCTTACATAACATTAACATGTTACAGAACTTTACCAGTACCATTTACTATACTTAGTTCATCCTAAACTCTTCTGGTAAGAAGAGTAAACTCTTCTGGGTGCCCATCTGTGTTACTTAATTGCCTTCATCCAAATGAAAAATAAAACTTCTATCTTTATAATAGTTAAGGTAGTTAGCTAGGTGCCCAGGTGAAACTTCCATAGTGATAGGAAGACATGGCTTTATGTTCCTTGATGCTTACATTTCAAAGAGATGGCTCCGGGGTACTTAAGAAAACATTTCTGAGTTGTAATGCTGACATAAAGCTTTTTTAGCTGTTAGAAAGATTTGCTTATATATCAGAGGATAGAGGTAAGATTTACAATTAGAAGTCTTTTCAAGCCAAAGATCTAAGAAAAGGGAGAGAGGAAAAAGTCTTTCTCCTTTATGGCGCCAGGGAAAATTGGGGAAAAAAAATTAAATTCTTACAACTTACTTGGGCACATAAAGAAATAAAGAAGAAATTGTACAGTAAAGATAAACAATATTAAATTTACTGACATGGTATCTTTATTAAAAGTTGCCCTTAGATTTATATTGCATAGCTAGTTGGATACCTTGGGAGTAAAAGGTTACTTAACCTGCCTTATGTAATCACCTCTTTTAAATTCTTTTAACCTGTGTGGAATGGTGATGTTCCTCTTTTTTTTTTTAATACAAAATGAATACTTTATTCAATAAAAATAAGTAAAAGTAAAATTTAAAAATTTTGATGATTAGAATGCTCTTTTATTTTTTTTATTTTCATTTTTTTATTTTTAAAATTTTGTAGAGAAAAACAGAACTAATACTCTTTAAGGGCTCCATGAGTTATCCAGATCCTCTGGAGATCAAAATAGTTTATAGAATTATAATGTTCTGAGTAAAATTAATACGGTTTTAAGAATGTATTCCAATAGTATTTTTATAAAGAGCAGTCTGTCCTAAAATCTAGAACAAAAGGCCTCTACTATAGTCATACAAGATAAAACATGATCTGAAACTGAATGAAAATCAACTTTAAAAGTTTTTTGTCCCAATTTTAAATTGTTGTCAACATTGAAGGGCAGAGAAAAGTTTCATTTGTTCAAATTATGTAGGCTGAGTATTAGCATTAAACTTTTCCTTGTTTCCTTCCAGCCTTTACATAATACTTTACATAGTTATAAATGTAATACAGGTATAATTTTGTGCCTTTTGCCCTTCTCCTTTTTTTAACTGTAACCTTATCCTCCTTGAGTCTCATTAGCCTGAGTCCAAATCTATGCTACTAGAAGTGGCTTATCAAAATCTATGCTGTGATTTAATCCTTGCCAGTAGATGTGAAACTTAAGCAGTTTACCTTATCTTAATGTGGACTTTCTAAAGACTAGTCCAGAAGTGTTTTTTTTCTATTTGCTCTTAATTAAAGTGACTTAATTTTTAAAATTTTTTACTTTTAGCTCTTTTATATTTCTTTACTGTTTTATCTTTTTAACTATAATTATCTCCCTATGATTGGCTTGTTTGTAAATTATCCTTTTGCAAAATATTAATTATGAACTTTTAGCAGCTTAATAAAAATTTAGTAGATTGAATATATAGGAATTTTGACAGAGTTGACTTGTTAGGATAATTGTAATGAAAGACCAAACTATAAATGTTTTAATTCTTGTTTGAAATTCAGTGAAAAAAAAAAAAAAGATTATGTAATATGCATGTAATTGTGCTTTTTAAATGCCAGAAAGAGGCCGGGTATGGTAGTTCACGCCTGTAATCCTAGCACTTTGGGAGGCCAAGGCAGGTGGATTGCTCGAGGTCAGGAGTTCAAAACCAGCCTGAGCAAGAGCCAGACCCAGTCTCTACTATAAATAGAAAGAAATTAATTGGCCAACTAATACATATATAGAAGAAATTAGCAGGGCATGGTGACGCATGCCTGTAGTCCCAGCTACTTGGGAGGCTGAGGCAGCAGGATTGCTTGAGCCCAGGAGTTTGGGTTTGCTGTGAGCTAGGCTGACGCCACGGTACTCACTCTAGCCTGAGCAACAAAGTGAGACTCTGTCTCAAAAATAAATAAATAAATGCCAGAAAGAAAATAGGCCAAGATGTTCACAATATCTCAGTGATAAATAGTTTTTTTCAACTTTATATCCATCTATACTTTATAAGTGTTCTTCAGTGGGTATATCTTTTTATGATTAGAAGAAAATACTAATGTAGATAAGGGGAGGTTATGCCAGCAATAGCAGTGTTGTTTGTCATTCTTGTACTTACTATGCAACATTTCTGAGAATCAGGACTTTAGACTAAAAAGCATGACTTAACTATTGGAGTTTCTCTAAGAGTTGATACCCCTGCAACAAAAAAGAGTATATGTTCTAGATGATGTTTTTACACAGAGTGTAAAAACAGGATGCATTATATGTCTCTTAACTACTCTTGACTCTTCTATCCTTGTCAGTTTTTCTCAGTATTCTAACTACTTCAGGCTTCAGGGAATACTATTTATAAAAATGCACATGAGTTTAATAAAAACCAGTACATTTATGAATCTTCTATTTTAGCCCCTTCTTTCTCCAAGTCAGTGGTTATCTCTTACTTTTACAAATGGTTTTTTTCCAATAATGTAAAAATTTGCTAAAATCTTGAAGTCACTGTTACTTTTTGTTTGTATTATCATTTTATATTTCAAAGGAGCAGATATTAAATATTCCTATAAGTATTTAGTTCTCATGAGGAGTCCAAGTAATCATGAATCCCATTCAAAGATTATTACTTGCCCTGTGGTGCGTTAATGCAAGACAAGGAAGAAAAACAATCTATGTCTGCTTTGAGAATGTCGGTAATACCACTTTTGCACAGAGCAGCTATTATTTGTTCAGTCATCACATTTGAGTGCCCACCCTGTGCAATGGACAGAGAAAAGAACAAATCTGAGACAATATCTTAAATTTAATTCCCCCATTCTAGCTAATTCAGTGCTAATTGTCCTATCAATCAAGGAATTTGTCTATCTCTCTTCCCCCCACCCCTTTCCTTCCTCTCTGCTTCCCTCTTCATTTCCTTCTGCCGACCCTTCCCGGTACCCTGCACACCTGAATTTTACTGCACTTCTTCAGTTATGGTGGTAACAGGGATGTATTTCACAATCTCACTAGGCAGTAGGTATGTGTATGTATATCAGTGTTCAGTTTTTAAAAGCACTGAGTATCCTAAAGAGGTGTATGCTCTTTCTGTCCCTCTTTTTCTGAATTATTACTTAAATCAAGACATTAATTAGCCACTTGAACAAGGTGAGTAACAGTTCCTGTTGAGTAAGTAGCTGCTAAAAAAATATTAAATGAAAGAAATGTTTTTTGGTTGGTTACATGTGTGGGAAGAAAAGTTTATCTATATCAGGGGTCCTCAAACTTTTTAAACAGGGGGCCAGTTCACTGTCTCTCAGACCGTTGGAGGGCCGTTGGAGAGTGTGGCACACGTTCCACACATGCGCACTGTGGGCCCAGTACAAGTCGGCTGCTAAGCAGTACAGGTAGTGGCGGCAAAAACACCTGGCAGGCCGGATGAATATCCTAGGCAGGCAGCATGTGGCCTGCGGGCTGTAGTTTGAGGACGCCTGATATATCTTACTTTGGTTTTTGTTGATTAGAGGAAACTCCTCCTGAGTTTATAATTGATCCCAAAGAATCCTCCAGAAAGTGTTTTTCTTCTTTTCTGTGAATGGAATTTAGAGCTCAATTCATACAAATGTGAAATAAAGTAAAATTTAAGATGTATAGGTTCCTCAAACTCTGTAACTCTTGAAAGGATTCTGTTATGAAAGCAGAATTAAAATCACAAGCATTTTGGAGGAGAGATATAAAACAGACTGGTTTTTAATATATATATATCTCAAATTAGAGGATCTATTAAAAAATAAAGAGACAACTACAGAATATACATATTCAGTAAAAGGCTTTGAGGCAATAGCAAATTTAAACGCACCCACGTTTCTGTACTTTGATTGAGTAGGCTACAAAGGAAGAATAACAACTGGTCTAGTAATGTTTTCTTGTTCATTATGGTTCCTGAGAAGAGTAAGAATAATTGGTTTGAGGTGTGTGTAAGAAAGATTTGCAGAGTATATTTTATGATGGTGCAGTGATTTTGAGAAGAAGATTGTTAAATGTCTCCTTTTTCTGTTCCCAGAAAAAGTTTGTGTTCACATTCTATTGTTCTATAAAAAAAAGATTTGAGGCTGTCTCAGAATCTCAAAGAATGATCTTATATTTCTGTAGGCAATCAGATTAGATGAAACCCTTCAGTTTCATGCTTATTTGCTTTTGGAAATGTCTCTATTAAGTGGCCTTTCTTTGACGACTCTTTCTACCCATCCACCTGTAGCACCTCACTCCTATCTGTTGACTTATAAATTGCCTTCTGCAGGATCTTTTTAATATTATCTCTTTACTATCTGAGGGGTAAATTATCTTTCACTTGCACATCTAGGTGTTGAATGATTCTTCAGAATTTATAGGCCAGATGAAATTTTTTTAATTGAGACATAGTCTCACTCTGTCACCCTGGTTAGAGTACAGTGGGGTCATCATAGCTCACTGCAACCTGAAACTCCTGGGAGCAAGCGAACCTCCTGCCTCAGCCTCTCAAGTTGCTAGGACTACAAGTGCACGCCATGACAACTGGCTACTTTTTCTATTTTTAATAGAGACAGGGTCTCACTCTTGCTCAGGCTGGTCTTGATCTCCTGAGTTCAAGCAATCCACCCACCCTCCCAGAGTGCCAGAATTACGTGGTGAACCACCATGCCCAGCCAAGCCAGATGAATTTTTAAAAGTCCTTTGTAAGTTTAAATGATCCATCTAGAATTTTTAGTACAGTGGAATAATTCAGTAAAAATTGTCTTTTTTTTCTTTTCACCTCAGCAGTATGAAAAGCCAACAGTATTGATCTGAGATGAAAACTGAATGTTGTAGAAGTGCCGCCTGCCTAATGAAACCTTAATCAAAGTGTCCTTTTCTTGTCTAGAAACCTTAAAAAAACTAAATTCTGAACATATTATTTTTTATAGCTTGAAGGAACTTTAGATATTTAGTCTAATTCTTATAATTTATAGTTGAATATAATATAGGAGCCTGAGAAGTGTTGATTTGCTTAAGATCACACAGTTGGTTAAAAGTAGACCCAAGTCTAGAATTGGCTTACAAGCCAGTTTTCTTATGTAAACTCTCACCATATACTGAATTACATGCTTTGGTATGTCCTAACCATGAGAGAGGAAAACCTAGGAACCTAGGATACTGGTTAGAAAGCTATGAGTTTGTGCCTAAGACATTTACCATTGCAATCTCTGAGCTTTAACAACACAATTGTTTACTTGATCAGCCAATTATCTCCTTTTTTCTACTAAATTTTTTTGTTTTGATTTTTTTTTTTTTTAGAAACAGGGTCTTGCTTTGGTGCTCAGCCTGGAGCACAGTGGCATGATCATAGTTCACTACAGCCTCAAAATCCTGGAGTTCGAGCAAACCTTCTGCCTCAAGCTCCCAGGTGTTTTACTGGGGGCGGGGGGACAGAGTCTTGCTCTGTCACCCTAGCTAGAATGCGGTGGTGTCATCTTAGCTCACTGCAACCTCAAACTCCTGGGCTCAAGCAGTCCTCCTGCTTCTGCCTCCCAAGTAGCTGGTGCTACAGGTGTGTGCTCACCATGCCTGTCTAAATCTTTTTATTTTTTGTAAAGACAAGGGTCTCTCTTGTGCTTAGGCTGGTCTCAAACTCTGGGCCTCAAGCAATCCTCCTGCCTCGTCTTCACCAAATGCTGGAATTACAGGCATGAGCCACTGTGCTTGGCCTTGAACTTGAACTTGAATATCACCTAGACCTAATATTTGTTTCCCAGCATGACTTTGCAGTGGCAAGTAATGGGCTTCATCTTTTATTTCAGCACAAACATCTATAACTGCACCAAAGACATGGAAGAAACCAAAAGATCGGACCCGAACCACTGAAGAGGTTTTAGAGGCAGAATTAGAGGTAAGAGGTATCAGATCTCTGGCTCATCTTCACAGCAGTGGTACTGTTTCATAGATAGGTGTAGGTTTATATCTCTTTCTTGAGATACTGTTTTTTAAGCAAAACTTGACATATGAAATTCAGAGACTAATATTTTCAAGTCCATTATATTAGAATTTTAAAAAGATTTTTAGTAGATATTTAATTTCATTGAATTCTTGTTTTTCTTTCAGACTACCTCTTCTAAAATGGCAGACTTTTGGTTAATCCTCCCCCTCCTTGTAATTGAATTTTTCTTTGTATTAACTTGATAGAAAACTAAACTAGTCAACAAAAATGGAGTTTTTTTTAAAAACACCCATTAGCAATGTTGGTAGAAATCATCCAGTACATTTTAGGGAAGTTCATTTTGAATCTGTCATCTGTTAACTACGTCCCAGTAACATATGGTTTGTCTGTGTTAAAATAAGCCATGCCAGATTTTGCTGTAGTTTAAAACATACCAAGTCTAAGAGATGATGTGAGGAAGAAACAAGAAATTTAGGCCTAAGAATTGCTCTAACAATTTCTTAGTCTGTAGCCTCAGCATCCTTAGTGTTGTGTGCTGAAGTTTATAAATGAAGAGTAGTAAACAATCTATATGTAGCTTTTTTCTTTAACTATTCTTATATCTACTTTATTAAAATAATTTATATTGAAGGTTCAAAATGATATATTAAAATGTAGAAAGTATTTTAAGGTAACTTTAAATGTATTTACCTCATAAGGCTTTTCTAGCTAGTTATAATTCTTACCCTCTTCAAGCAGCTAACAGTCCCCCTTTGTTGCTTCCCCTGTCCTATCATTGCTCTTACATGATGCTGTGTTGATGTCACAGTTAGTCCCATAGCAACCACTAAAATGTTGCATGGGTGTGATTTCCTTGTGGTTATGTAGGGGTAAAAATTGGCAGTGAGTTATTGAGGTGCAAATAGTTGCTGTACTCTTCTTGGAGCTGAACAAGAAAATGTTGCTCCTGCAACGAGTAAAATACCTTCCAAAGGCAGGGGAATCACATACATTCGTGGTATGGCTGTAAAAGCTTCAAAAACTAGTTTCTTTTTAGATTCAACTGGTTTTCTATTAGTTTTCTTTCATTATACTTCATGTTCTTTTGCCCTGTGGCTAGATTTCTAAGCATTATTGAATATAAGATAGGCTGCCACTCCCATGCCTTCAAATATTTATCCTGTTTTTTAGTTTGGGGAGTAGCAAATTTCTTTTGTAAAGAAAGGTCCACGTGGTAAATATTCTAAGCCTTGTGGACTATATGATCCATGTCATAATTCCTTAAATCTGCCATTGTAGCCCAAAAGCAACCATCAACAATGTGTGAATGAATAAAGTATGGCTATATTCCTATAAAACTTTGTTGATGGGCACTGTAATTTGAATTCATGTGAAACATACTAATTTTTTTCAGCCATTACAAATGTAAAAATCATCCTTACCTTGCATATGATAGGAAAGCAGGTGTTGAGCCAGAATTGGCCTAAGGGCCATAATTTGCTATAAACCTGCTTTAGCTTATTCCTTTAAACATGAGAACTGTTTTGAATCCTTTCTAACTAATCACTTTTTCCTTAATGCTATAGTTTAAAATTAAAAGAAAAAGTATTTGGTCATTTACTCATGGACTTCTTTCAGAAATTGTACTCCCTACCTTTCCTAAAATTGAACATTTCTTAGAGTAGTAAATGTTAGGTGCCATTTTCTTCATTTCCAATGATCAAGCTCTCCCTTTCCTTGATTATTTTCTCAGCCTTTAAAATAATTGTTCAGGTATCAGCCTATTTGGGGTTATATATTGGGTTGTTAAATCATTACAGATACTTTATCAGGTGTTTGAAATTATAATCTAGAATATCAAGGGTGGAGGATGGTTTTCATCTTAAAATTATGGGTTAAGACATCTTAAAATTGTTAAATTTTAGGATGTTTCCTCAATTATTATATACATAGTTGTCAGTCTGATTTTCTAGCACTTTTTAAAAAACTCATTGCGTTAAGCAGAGTGTGTTTTCAAGTAAATTCTTAACAGCTTCCTATAAAAGGTTTCCCTTTGTCCAGCAAAGGTAGGGTGCTTTCTTTCATTCATCAGTCTTGTTTTCTAAGTAAACAATTTAGGGACTGTTAGGTACTTACAGCCTAGTCGAATAGTGTTAACATTTAATTCAGCTATTTTTGTTGATTTCTTTGAAATATCCCACATAAAAATGTGCCTTAGACACTTCAGTGATTCTGTGTTCTCTGAATTATGGTTTGTTATTCATGGAACGAGTTTATTTATATTTCTTTTTCCAGTTAGAAATTGAATTTCCAAGTAATGTAGCCTCTGTTTATATATGATAGATAGTTGCTGATTTTAGGTACAGAGAAGATGCAATATATTTTCGTCTAATAACATTTTTTCCATAGTTTACAAGATCTGAAATAAGAATTCTATATCGTTGTACAATGTATTTGCCCTGCTCTTTAATAAGTTTAAGTACTATTTACATACATTCTAAATTATTAAAGATCTTTTTGATGACCTGCACTTAATTATACAATGGTATTATAAGTTCATTATGAATTAATTTAGACTATAGTAGAGAATGAAATTTTTAAAAGTGAGGCTGCTGATTGATGATTCATATGTGGTAGATCTGTTTTTCTCAAAGTTTGAAAGATATCTACTTTCTGCCATGTTTTATAAAAAGAAATCATTTCCAGATTCATTTTCCTGGAATTTTATATCAATCCTTCTTTTCATAGTTTCTCTATACTCTCTTCCCTCTGATAGGGGGTATGTGTGTATATATTTGCAAAAACTTTATTTCCATTATAGAAACAGCCTAAAAATCATCTGTTTCCATTGATAGAATGTTAAAATCTAGTGTCTTTTCTCCGGATCTAATGTATGGTAAAAGAAAATTTACTAATATTATATCTGTTATAATACTTCTGTTAAGTAACAAAGTAGCATTTGTCACTCAAATTTTCTTTAAAACATAATTGCAAGGCCGGGACGGTGGCTCACGTGATTGCTCAAGGTGAGGAGTTCGAAATCAGCCTGAGCAAGAGCGAGACCCCCTCTCTACCATAAATAGAAAGAAATTAATTGGCCAACTAATATATATAGAAAAAATTAGCCGGGCATGGTGACGCATGCCTGTAGTCCCAGCTACTCGGGAGGCTGAGACAGAAGGATTGCTTGAGCCCTGGAGTCTGAAGTTGCTGTGAGCTAGGCAGACGCCAGGGCACTCACTCTAGCCTGGGCAACAAAGCGAGACTCTGTCTCAAAAAAAAAACAAAAAAAAAACATAAATGCATGTATCAATTGGGGTGAACCACTTTCTGATATATGCAGCACTCTTTTACACAATCCTTTGTTGAACCAGCCCCAATTTTTAGTTCTTCTTATAGTGTGAATTTATCAAAAGACTTAAAGTTCGTGGAAAGCTTTGCCTCAAGGAGTTTTGATGATTCACAAGGCCCTTGGAAAGCCATTTTGTTTGATATCTGATACGAGATGGTCCAAAATAATCTGGGGGATAACTTCAATTATTTTCTGCCGTTTAAAAATAGGCATAATACTCCAGAACTCAGATTTCTCCCTCAGAAAATATGTTCTGAGCAATTTTTTGTATATGATAAGATTTTTCTATATATGTAAGATCACAGCCTCAGAGAGGTCTAAGAACCAATAAACAAAATAGATTTTAAGTAACAAGTGGCCTTCTTGTAAAAATGAGATATGATCAGCTTTTTAAGTCTTACACATGCTTTAAGCTATTTCCTGAACTCTCAATTTCTCAGCCAGAGGACAATACCAAAAATACCTTCTGATGTTTCTTTTTATATTTGCTGAGCTTTAGTGGCAACAGTAGGAGTGCTTGTTTTAGATTTCTTACTCGGACTCTTTCATGTCCATCAGGTTCCAAGGAGTAACAGTTCTTTCCGTTCTAACTTTTGGTATATTTGGATATTATTAGTCTCATGTACTTCAGTACCCATTTGAATTGTCTGTCTTAGCCCGGGTGCTGAAATGAGAAAAGTATTTATAAAAACTGCCATTTTAGTACCATATCCTGAACACAGACATTGCTATCTTGAATGACATGTTTTTCTATCCTTTTTGAAGGGGTAGGTGTAGATCTTTATGTATATTTACATATGTGAAAAAAAGTAACCTCTTTGTTCACTTACTATTTAGCCTAAAGTTGAAGAGGACCTTTCAGTTGACAGAGTACTTGAATCTGAACAAGATAAAATGAGCCAAGGGCTTCATCCTGAAAGAGACCCCTCTGACGTAAATAAAGTGAAAACTGTGGAAGAAAATGGAGAAGAAGCTGAGCCTATACGTAATGGTGCTGAGAGTATTTCTGAGGGTGAAGGAATAGATGCTAATTCAGGCTCTACCGATAGTTCTGGCGACGGGGTCACATTCCCATTTAAACCAGGTAAGTTTGTCCCAGCCTTCCTGTGTGCCTCTTTCCTTCTCCCTTCACTGTGCTGGAACCTTAGAGAAATGTTGCCTCCTCATACAGAGATACTGGATGGAAGGAAGATATTCATCACAATGTGGTATTTACAGAATAGATCATCAGGCCTAAGTTAGTGGGTAGCAAATCCAGAGAGCTCTGTGTTGGCAGAAATGATATCTGATGCTTATATTCCCCTTTTACTAGCATTGTAAGAGCAGCTGGCAAAGGAATCTGTCAGTGCCAGGCTGGTGGAATTTGTTAAGAGAAATTATATTTTATTCATTTTAATTGAAAGAAGTATTATAGATATGACCATGACCCTTGAGATTGTGTTGCTTATCATTTCACAATCTGTGAACTCAGTTTATTAACAGAAATCACTCTGTAGAACTGAACTCTGATACAAATAACTCAGAAGCAGTATGGCTGAGTTACTGTGTATGTGCAGTGTGGGAGGTGCCCTATGAAATGTATGATAAACCCTGGAGGATCTTTCCTTTTAAGATATCATCAAATGCATTAAACTTCTGTCCTAATACTATATAAACCATGATTGACTTTGAGATTTATGGAAAAATTTGTTGTGGACATGTGGGGAAAGGTGGCTCCTTTGATGGTAAGTTTGGTGTAGGTAAAAAGTTTTTCTTAAGAAACTCTTCCAAATGTAGAGTAAGTTTTGCATGAGGTAGAGTTTGAGTGTAAAATACCAAACCTTGAAAATATTCTAGACCAATGTTTTTCAAACTTTCGGTTTTAACAGATTGAATAGGTTGTGAAATTAATATAATGGGTCACAACCAACATTTTTTTAAAAAGACAATAATAGTAAAAAAAAAAAAATCAATATATTACAACGTTTGAAGAAACTTTTATTTTAGTTGTGTATATGGTTATATTTGTCCTGGATCATGAGGTTATTATATTTCTTACTGTTAGTTGTAGTCAGAAATATATGAAAACCACTAATACTTACCACTTTAATATACTGCTGTTTCCACTACCAGCAAAACCCTGTTGGCTGGGCGCGGTGGTTCATGCCTGTAATCCTAGCACTCTGGGAGGCCAAGGCGGGCAGATTGCTCGAGGTCAGGAGTTCAAAACCAGCCTGAGCAAGAGTGAGACCCCGTCTCTACTATATATACAAAGAAATTAATTGGCCAACTAATATATATAGAAAAAATTAGCTGGGCATGGTGGCGCATGCCTGTAGTCCCAGCTACTTGGCAGGCTGAGGCAGTGGGATTGCTCGAGCCCAGGAGTTTGAGGTTGCTGTGAGGTAGGCTGACACCATGGCACTCACTCTAGCCTGGGCAACAGAGTTAGACTCTGTCTCAAAATAAAATTAAATAAAATCATGTTTATGTGTTTTATGAAATTGTAACATTATGCTATTGTGAAGCTTTTTTTATTAACCTTAGGACTCAATGTACTGACATTTCTTTTATAGAACTAGGTTTGTCTGCTCTGTTAAAAAATCTAGGC